CAGGACCCACCTAAAAGGCACAAAATACAATCACCTCAATCAAATCAACCTTTGCCTCTACCAACCTGGCAAATCGGGGCTACATATGCCTTCATCTCGATATCTGAACTAAAACCAGGACCCCCCCAGGTTGAAAGGGAGCTGAAGCCAGTCTTATTGGGAGCTGTTCCAGACATATCCAAGTGCATGAAGGAAGCAAACCCATTCCTAAACTGGTCATGACCTGTTCCCTCGAAAGCCAACAGTGGTCAATCCAGAATATGACAGGAGTAGGGCAAAGGTGGACAGTGGGTGGAACATTATCAAACTTGGGAAATATGAATCAAACATGAACATGTTGATAAACACAAACATATCGCATCACACAAAAGCTCACAAAACAACACAACAAAACACAGCACAACAACACAACACGGAAACCACAAACAGAAACACATGCCTAAAACAAAGGCAACACAAAACCACTTCATCGCCAGGAAGTAACCGCTGCACTGCCCCTCCGGCCGGAGCTGTACGCTTGAGGTAGAGAGACTCGAGGCGCCAGGCAGCAGACCAGGTGATGAGGCCCAACAAAGACATCCAAAAGTTGCGTTCGTCGTAGAACATCTTCATCTTGTCCTAAAGCCAGTGACTGAGTGGTTTCCTACGGGGTGAAACTACATCGCACAGTTCCTTCATTTTGCCCCTTGCTTACCCGCATGAAGGAAATTGTGCAAAGTGTGCCTAAGTGGGTGAACGTACGATTTACACACAAATGCGTGTTTGCGTATTAACATGTATTTATATATACATATCATGCATACATACATTCTCATATTATCCTAAAACGCCCTGATTCCAGCAACCAATCTGGCAGTACATATGTATATATATATATATGTTAAATACATGTGCATATATATATATATATATATAAATGTGGCAAATGTTGTCCTGAAACCAATGGCTTCCCCTTCCCTAAGCGACACATGTATGTTTGTGTCTATATGTGCTTTTAGAGAACACCAGGGGCTTCACAACCCCCAAGGGAAGTCAAGAGCAAACAAATCTTCGTGACCAATTTAGCGGCAAACATCACAACTATGACTATATCATCTGGTCCATCATCGTCGTTCAGAAAGAGCTTAAGAAAAACCGAATCAACGAGCAATAAAAATTGAGAGTGCGATGTTGCTGCCCACACATGTATACATATATATATATATATATATATGTTGTGTAGATATACATATATACACATATGTTGATGTATTGTGTCTGAAATCCACGGTTTCCGGTGGGGAACAACTAGAAGAGGCTACAGGAAAGGCTTTTATCCAAGAGCAACCACATTTTGATAAACCTTTGAGAATCAACCCCACAACCCTATGCTCAAAGGCATGACTGCATGTCCTTGTGCACATGTAGAAAAAGGTTTGCCTTTATTTGAGTAAACTTATCTTGGCGTGGTTTAAAAGGGAAACCAAAGGAAAGCACGCACACACACACACACACACACTTTGGGAGGTCCCCTATTTCAAGACGCACCCAGGTATAAATATATACGTATATCATAATAATAATAATATTGCCCTGACATCCTAAAGCCAACGGATGCAATATGGTGCCCTCTGCGAAGCAAAAAAAAGGAAAAGCCCTGCGGTGCTTCCCAGAGGGCTGGTAACAGCCTTTCCTGAATGTATAGATCGCTTTTCCGAAAAGGTGTCACGGTAACCAACTCTTATCTCAGCAGTTCTCCAGAAGTTGCTTGCCTTTTATGTCTTTCGTCAAAACCATAGCTATCCTTCAGCATGTGAAAGCTCATATGATAACTTCGGGTTCATCCGGAGGACCAAACTTTTGTCAGGGGTGATTCGCCTCGTGGGAACTAGTTCATGTTGCACGAGTCCTAAGTCGGTCCTCTAGACTCTGGATTCATTCGAAGCTAGCATTGCCATGCATTGCCCGGTCTGATAGAAAGGGAATTATGAAACCATCTCCTCCTGAGAGCTTGCTTTTTATGAAATGACCAGAGAGCTGGACAAATGCAGGGATGCAGGGATGAAGCAAAGGACCTGGTAATAACTCACTCACACATGTAAATTCACTGGGAAAAGTATGGAGTTGTGATTCTCCTTTGAAACCAACTGAAAGGGGGTTCGGAGAAGAAACAAAACTCACCCATAAAGTCTAGTGTCATAGTCTCTCGGGAGGATCTGCGGCTGGTTGCTATTCACCACGTACTTGCTCATGGATCTCTGCACTCCAGAATAAGTCAGCACCGTCAGGCAGGCGCAGAAGGCTGTAGCAATGGTGGCTACGTTCAGGCGAAGGCTTCCAATGGTGATCGGTGCACTGAGAACCTTGGCAGCGATGTACATCAAGATATTTGCGTCACTCAACAGCAGCAGCATCAATACAATCCCCACTGGGACGATGGAGTAGGCGAGGATTCCCCATCCGGTCATGTTCTCTTCGGCCCCCCCGCGGGCTAATGTCTGGAGCGGCAGACACACTTGAGTTGGCAAATGTTGCGGAAACCGGCGCCGGTCTTTCTTCGGCCATTTTTTAACAAATGGTCTGCCTTTCTTGAGGCTATCCTGGGTCGTTTTTTGGGCTACCCTTTTCGATCGGTTTGAAGGACACCCAATGGTCGCTTTGAGTGGTCCCCGGCAAGGCCATCCGTGAGCCAGTTCACTGGGGGCAATGCTGAGAGGCTTAGCGAATCAGATGGCATGTGGATATGACTCGATGTGCATCTTTCGAGGGTACTCTTAGTAGGACAAACCAAAAGGAAACACTGCCGGTGCGCAAATTTAAGACAAAGCCATAAGTTAATAAACCACGTACAGTCAATCTGGGGAATCCTTGGCGAAGCCACCGGATTTGTTCATTCCCATGATTGTTCCAAGCTGCTTTCCTTCAAGTCGCCTAGAGCCACGCAAGGATAAAACCGGAGCGCGAAGTCGAAGCCTTGAGGCGATTCGAGCAGAGTCGTTTTGAGGGCTGTGCTGCAGCCTCGCTGGAGCCAGGGAAGGGCGTTCGGTCATGGACATAGGTGGCCTTTTGGGCAAAACAGATGGGTTTCCCTGGATGTTGAATAAACCAACCATCTAAATCAGGAATCGCCCTCTATGTTTTAAGCCAACCAACCAAAAAGGACACCTCTGGTCATGGACCCCCCACCCCAAAGGCCCTGCGCGCGCATCGTCGCTCCGAGTTCGGGGCTCTCGGTCTTGTCGCAGGGGCAAGGGCGCCTGAGCCAGCTGCTGCCAGTCCTCGCGGCAAGGCATGCGCCTGAGGCGGCTCAGAGGTCGTCATATGAGTCACAATCAAAACCCGGTATTAAAATGGTCGTAATCCCAGAACCATGCCTCAAGAACTAAGAAGGCGGCCGCAACTATTTCTGGCTGGGACTGTCCCGTACTAACCTTCATCTACCCGGGTTTTGATTGTGGCTCATATGGGTATGGGTCAAAATTGAACCACCGGACCGCAGGTTTTAGTCCATGTTTCCACTCCCAGGGTTCCATTTTGGGTACCTATTTTCGACCCACACCCATCTAGTGCGAGAGATGCAGGGAACGAGAAATGGGATGACCCAAAGAGAAACCGTCCAACTGGTGGTTTCTTTGGGGAATCCCTGGATGTATTCCCACATTCCCTACTGAGCGCCAGCAAGTCATTGGCCGACATCACCTTTAAAGACTTTCGTTCTGATGATCCCGACTTGGCTCCGAACTGACTTCAACCACAACTTTGAGCTGAAGATGTAAGGCATCACTTCCAGCTGCAAACCACCCCGAAGCCTTGGCCCGTGGCTCGCACCTTTTTGGGCTTGCCACTAGAGACCATGCGTGAGAGCTACAAGGTACAGTACCCGCTCTTGGACCTAAAGAGTCCCTCGGCCCCAAAATTGGAGATCGCCTTTGGAATGGCGCTCAAGAAAAACCAAGTTGACACATTCTTTCAAGGGCCGTCCAATTTGTTGTCCGCTTGTTTTGGGGGGAACCCCCGCATTGGGGGACATAGATCTCCATCCACTAAAAAAATACTTGGCCAGGCTTCACGGGGCTATCGTTCTGTTCAAAAGCAGAGCCGAAGGAACAGCACCCCCCTTGATTTCGAGGCTTCGAATGAACACCTGCTCAACCACAAGGTTGCGCCCTTTCGAGGTTCGCCCGTTTTGGGGACTCCCAGGCTTTTCTTTGTTTCACCAAAGGTCACTCAATGGTAGGCTAAAAGGAAACAACCCTACTGTGCACGGAACATCCTTCATTCCTATGAAACTATGGGAAACCCATGCTTGTTGGTATTTACAGGGGAATCATCATCCAGGGTTTCCTATGTGGTGCAGGATTTCGGATTTTGTCCAGCCACCGGATTTTTTGCTGACAGCCCCCCAAAACCAAAGAACGACCCCTGTTGCAGAGTCCCAGGCCGACCGCTCTCAACCCATCCCGTCCTTTGTGATCAATTCCCGCCAGAACTGCTCATCTTTCGCCGGCACCGGGCCAACCTGTCAAAAAAACACGAAACGGAACCAACTGGGCCGCGAATAGGCGGGCCTCAAAAATGGTAGTTGTCCTGCTGGGTTCCCTTCAAAACCATGCCAGGTTCATGGACCACTATTTGGGGAAGCTCTCTCATGATCCTTGATCAGTGGTTCGGATTCGTGGGGTTTGAACCTCTTGGCCTTGGCAAAAACAACCACGAGGGCCCAAGTGGGGGCCCTAGGGGTTGCGGAGTATTAAACTATCATTGCGTCATGAATGTGTGAATAACCCCTTCACTCCTGGCTGGTGAATGGTGGCTTGGGGAACTAAATCTCTTGCCCCACAAGAAGGAAAACCACGTCGCCAACCCAACTCACAGCGCCAACTCTGGGGTCCCCAGGTTCTGATGCGGAAACCTTGGGAAGGGGATTGCAAGCGCTTGACCAGGGGAATCGCAAACCCATCACGGGCAAAGCAAAGACTGCCAGGCCATGAACGTGCAACACATGAACTACTGACTTCCTGAGTGGATGGGCCCCAACAACAGTCTAAGCTTTTGTTGACCACTAAAACGGTCCAAACCCAAAAAGTTCAGAGTCCCTGAACTCAGGCAGGCGATGAACGATGGATGATTCAGCAGGGTTGTCCCATGGAGGTGCTCCTTCACCGGGCCGACGCCAATTTCGCACGGACTTCCCTAGCTGCCAAAAGTCTGGGGCGAGCGTTCAACGCGGATGGCTTTCAAGCGGTAAAGCCGACTCCAGACAAACGAAGATCCAGGTGACTATGCTGAAGTCACATATGCGTTTGCGCGGTGTCAACCGATGCCTGCCTACAAATGTGAGGCATACCCCCCCTGTATGGCGGGCACTTTGGATCTAGTTTGCGAGAAAACTTCCTCCCAAACCCAGTGGGCCATGGAAAAGAGCGCGCCCTGTCGGTAGCGGCCTTTTAAGGGAAGCCCCCTCCAAAAAAAGGTGGGGAAAAGGCAACGGTGGTCTCGGTCCTGGGTAAAGGCTCCAACACGGTACAGGTTTCTAATAGGGGTTGCGCTCCCTGAACCGGAATCAAAACCGCAGCTAAACTGGTCTTGGGACTTGTTCCGCTCATTCACCCTGGGATTCAAACCGCCATGAAAACAATGCGTGGGTTCATACTTCACCGCCATTTCAGGATTGCCCATCATCTAAATGGTTCATATTTCACCCATACCATCTACCATCTAATGTCACCATCTACCAATTCATATTTCATCCTTCAGATTTCACAAACAAATCATCTAGCTATGGTCCCCCATACAATACCATCACACCTATATACCTATTCTATATATATATATATACCAGCTACGGGTCCCATTTCCCCCCATACCATCATACCATGTATCACAAAAGAATCATATTTCACCCCCACACCATGTACCAAAAAAGAAAGAAAGAAAAACAACTGGTCATCTAGCTTGGGCCCTCCAGCTGGGCCTTCGGAAGTCGACTCCCGGCCCCTTCCACCGGTCCGCCTCTCGCAGCTCTCGGGTCGGCTGTGGCCAACCTGTGGCTCCCGGTGGCGCTCGTGGCTTTTTGGGACTCGGCCTGATTTCTTTTCTAGGTCCTCCAGAGAGGTTGGAATAAGGGTACCCGATTTGTTTTTTCTCGGCTTTGTCTGTTTTTGTAGGGTAACCCTCACTACCGGGGGACCTAGTTTTGGTCGAGACCTTACAGAAAATGAAGGGAACTCAGAGGCCCACTGGATTTCCTTGGGAATGAAGGGCATCCCATGTTTGCTTTGGTTGGTGGAGTTTAAAGGGGAACCCCTCCCCAAACGAACAAGGGAAAAAAGGGCGCCACTGGGCAAAGGGAAAACCGATTGGCTTCCATTTGCTGGGTCGCATAAAAGAAGAAGAAGAAGAAACAAGAAGAAGAAAAGACACCGGCCATATCTTCATGGCGCTTAGAGAAACCAAAGGGACGACCCGTTGGTTCCATTTCGTGGGCTCCTTTTGGTCAGGTAGAAAAGGAGCTGCTCAACATGTGCCAAGCTCCTTTTGAGAGAAGCCTTGCCGCAGGTACAACTAGTCATGACCATTGCAGTGTCCAACGAGGAACATCTCAAGCAAATGGCCATAGCCAAAGGACAGGCGCAGCCCACGCGGCCTCTGACTGTGCTGAATATGTTTCTTCCTGGTGAATGTAGGCTGGCACGGTCACCAACTGGGTCATAACAAGGCCCTGTGCAGTTTGGAAATGGCGTGCTTTTGTATGAACATAGGTTTGGTGTGGGTTCGGTTCTTTTGCTGGCGACCGCAAAGCTTCAGCCCAAACAAATGCCTCACTTGGGTCCTTGGTGCGAACACGCCCCGCCATCTCACCTCGTTGTGGGTTGATAAGACACATTGCCTCACGCGTTGAACCTATTGACTTTGAGGCTTGTGGGTTTTCCGTCATGTGTTCCTTGATCTTGAGCTTTCTGGGTTTTCCTTCAAGCAGCAAAAGTTCATCAGAGAGCCTGCCCCCAAAGAACCTTTGATAGGTGTCGTGAAAATTCCAGAGCTCGTCGGAGCTCAGAGTTGCAACCTGTTGGCTCGAATAAAACAACTCCTCACATATTCAACTTAACTAGCTTGGGACCCCGCAAGGGGGTGTCAACTTTTGGTCGCTGCTACATGACTACCATGTTCAACCAACCCAGGTTTTTTTCGTTGTGGTTTAAAGGGACACCAAAAGGAAACCCACCATTTTGGAGGGGACCCCTAGCAAAAGACACACCCATATAACTGGATCTCAAAATGGCCGTTATTTTGAAGCGCGATCTGTGTAGCGATTTGGACCCCCACAAAAAGGGCGGCTTCCTTTTGCTTTCCGCGGAAGTTTGGGGCACCACCCATTTGGGCTTGCCTCAAAATAGGATATGGAATCCCCGAAATCGGTGCTTTTCCCGTGGGTGCGCCAAGGATTTCTCAGAGCGCTCCCCAAGATAACAGCTTTCCTGTCATTTTTCCTTTGCCACAAACAACTTAGGTTTTCCTTTG